TGTTAATTTGATACTTTTGATATAAAAAGAGCTAACATTGTTAAACAATTATTTATGTTATAACAAATAAATTCAAAAATTAAAAAAGAATAAAAATAAAATACAGCATTAGAGATTATGTTAACAAAAATTAAACTAGTTTTAAGACTAATTTGTTTTCATGATTTCATTTTACATATCAGTCATTAATCTATTAAATATTATATATTAATTTAAGAATCAATTTATATTTTAAAAGTTAAAGAAATAACATGATAATTTAAAAAATGTAAAACACTAAAATTAATAAAAAATTAAATTTAAAGAACTAAATCAATAACATGACAAATTATAGAACTAAAAGTACCATTATCAAGCTATGTAAAAAATAGTTTATGGATATTTTTTTAAGCTTTTATTTTTCTCATAAAAATTACTTAAGTTTTGAAAAAAAATTCATAAAATTTAAAATGTTTATTTAAATTTTAAAAATAATATAATCTAAAAAATATATTTTTATTATTTTGAGAAGTTATTTTATAAAAATAATCAAATATGTGAATGGGATAAAATGCTAAAAATATGTAAAAATAGATGAAGATATCATAAAAAATATTTATAAAGATATCATAAAATTAAAATTTTAAAATAACTAGATATACATAAAAAATTTTATATCAATTATAAATAATTGCTTGATTATTTGGCTTTTTTCTCAATTAAACTAGGGGGAAAAGCTAAAGGTTAAAATGCATTACTAGTTGCTTAGAGTATGTTTGATTTAAAAGTTACAAAATCATAGTGAGAATAAAATGAAGTTCACAAACTGAAGTTAGGATAAATATTTGTTATCGCAATATATTTATGTTTAGATATATATATTTTTTAAAAAAGTTAATTTAACAAACAATAACTTATTTAAATGATGTAATTCAAGAGCTAGTTTAGATGTAAAATGAAAAAAAATGTATATACATTTTATAATATATATTTGTGTGACTAATTTGATTTTTAAGAAAAAAATATTAAAATTATTTAAAAAAAGGTGAAATAAAAAATAAATTTAAAAAATTTTAGATTCTAAATTATAAAATGGTAGGCTGAACTTAAGGCCAGCCTAATTTTTATCTATTAGCACGTGGGAGAACCAATTGTTTTTGCTTTAGTTTAAATGAGCTTTTATCCTCGGATCTCTTTGAAGAAATTTTGAAACAATAAAACTTTTAATCCCTCAAATATCTTTTAATCATTGATTTGGTTTTTTAAATTAATTTTTTACTGATTTGGCCCTCTACATTTTATTAAATGATTATATTAATAATTTAAGTTTTAAAATATAAATTGACTCTCAAACCAATTTAAAATATAAAATATATTGATGAACTAGCACGTGCACATATATATAGTTAAATAAAAATAAATTAATTTTTAAATCAGTTTAATTTTTATTAATTTAATTCCTTACATTGCATTTCATTTTTTTGTTTTGTTTTGTTTTTTTAAATTCTTGTGTCTATTCTTTTCATACATAAATAATCATTCTTCTTTTAATTAATTTATGTGACTAGATATTCTATTATCTATGTTAATAATTAAAGTAAATTTAAGAAATTAAATAAATAAAAATTAAACTTGAAGAACTTAATTAATTATTGAGTCAAATTTAATAAACTAAAAAATTTATTGTCCCAACATTTTTTATCCAGAAAAGATTTCTTTTGATCTTCCAATAAGTTTTTCACACCTCACCCAAATCTAAGTTGGGGTGCAAACCAAACACATCCCTACGAATTTTAAATTTGGATTAAAATATAAATTTATTCTCCAAGTTTCCAATCAAATGCACATCATATTCTAAAATATTTTTTAATACAATTTTATCCTAATGTTTTTCACTTTGATACAATGTTGCCTTAGGTTAACATTTTTAGATTTTGATCATTACTCTGGCCTTCACTTCTTGTGCTAGCAACCGCATGGCAATTGACACGTTGACATCTAAATTTTTTTAAGGAGAATTTCAATTAGTATTATGAATGAGACTTAATTTTTAGTGGATTCTAAAAATTTAAAATTCCAATTCAATTTAAGGGGATTGAAAAGAAAATAATTTTAACGATAAAAAAAATCAAAATAGCTTTACTTGTTATGTAGAATTATTAGTTATTAATTTTATTTCTTCACTTATTAATTTATCAATATAAGTTGTAAATTATATTCGTTTGTCAAACAAGCAACAACATCAATTGTGAATTTGAAAAATTTATTTGTTAATTTATTAACATCAATTTTAATTTACAATAAATGATTATACATAACAAATTAAAGGTATTTTAGTACTTTTATCATTGAAATTATTTCCATTTTAATTATCTTAAATTGAACTAAAGTTTTAAACTTTTTAAGATCTACTAGTAATTAAGTTCTATCTATGATCCTTGATTGAAATTCTCTCTATTTTTTTTTAATCATTGCCACATTTGATCTTTTTTTTTTCTTCGTTCTACATAAACTATCTCTTTCTGCCATCTTCACTCTCGGAAGAAGAATCAATTACAAGCCCCAACAAAATAAATTAAAAAAAAAAAACCAGATCAAAACTCAAGAAGAATCCCCACCCCCGAATAAAAAAAACCAATATTTAAGACAAATCATATTCAACAGTCTCGTATCTACAATCAATACACGCCATAAATAATCGACAACCCAAATAAAATTGAAACAAACACAAAGCCAATCACCAAGTAGATTAAGAAAGTTCAACACATCGATTTCAAAGGGAATGGAAGTAAGAAGCAAATCGCGTTGAAAAATCCCATATCAGAAATAATCGTCGTTTGGAAGTGAAAAATCCTGGACAAGATTTAGATCATAATTAACACTCCTAAGCTCACCTGTCCCTTCACATCCCGTATTGAACTCGAATCATGTTGAATCCCCTCCCACCATGATTTACAGCCTTCAAAATCGTGTTGAATCCCTCAGCGTTAAATCGCATTGAATCCCTGTGCCTGTGCTGAGTTTGCGACTTGCGCCGTCTTCGCATTGAATCCCCACCCTCAGATATCAACCTAATCTCACCTGCACCGTGTTCACGAGCCATATCTCAGCCTAAGCTCACCTATGTCTCTTTCTTTGCGACCCAGAAGACGAAGATTGAGATTTGGATTTCAGTTCCTTTGAGATTTTGGTTTGAGTGGAAGAAGAGGGAAGAAGATATGGGTGGGGAAGAGGAAGGAGGAAGGGAGGGAGAGAGAGAAGGGATGAAGATGGCCGAGAGAGAGAGAGAGATGCTTCAGGATGAAGAAAAAGAAGATCAAATGTGGCAATGCCCACGTGGCTCTGGACGTTGGAACAAAGGTGGAAGACAATAACTTAAAAAAAAATGACAAGGACTTATACGTGGCAGTTAATAAGTATTTAACGGTCAAATTAATGGTTAAAGTCTGAGCATTCAAAATCAATCCAAACAAAAAGTACATACCTAAGTCGAAAGAGACCGAACAAAATTGAATGACAATCAAATCTATTTTGATTTAAGTTTTGATTCTGTGTATTAAAAATCTAACCAAACTGAATCAAATCTGGTTAAAAAATATTATTTATTTATTTATAAAATATATAATTATTTATTTATAAGAAACATATTTTTTTGTTAGAATCTATAAAAAGTATTTTATTTTAAATTTTTTATAATAATAAATAAACATTTTTAAAAGATTTGAATAGAAATGTATAATATTAAATAATTATAATAATCATGTTATGACCATCATTTAATTATTTATAACTTGAAAGCCTCACCCTCACTTATTCAATTTATCTATAAAAAGCATTTTATGTTTAATTTTGTATAATAATTTTTTTATTATTTATTAAAATATAGATATATAGATAAATATTTTTAAAGGACTTGAATGAAAATGCATAGTATTAAATAATTTTAATTTTAGAAACTTATATCAATTTTTATGAATAATTATTGTTAGCACATTAAAATTTTATTATATTTTTATACCTCTATTTATAAAAAAAGAGCAAAAAAAAATTAAATTTAATTTTAATACACAACACCATTATGAAAAAGAAAAAGAAAAAAAATCAAATAAATGCATTAAAGCTTGATCTAATCCTCAACCAAACCGAACTAAATTAAAAATAAAATCAAATTAAACCAAACTCTATAAAAATTGATCAGGTCTCAATTCTGAATAAATTAAAATGATTTAGTTTGATTTGATTTTTGCTTAAAATCAAACTAAATTGAATCTTTGAACACCTTTATCTAAGACAATATTGTATCAAATTAGCAAATTTTGAGGGTGAAATTGCACTATAAAATACTTTTAGACTCTGAGGTGTATTTGACTGAAAATTTTAAAGTTGGATTTGTACCATAACCCTTTAAATTTTAGTACAATTCAAACCTCGAAGTTGTTGTGGAGTATAAGAAACATTTTGTGATTGCCAGGTCAGCACCCTCCATCCACGCTTTAACAAAATGAAAATTAAGCAAAATTGACAAAAAGAGAAAACAAAGGAAAATATTAAACTACTTGAAAATTAAAAATTTACTTTCGCTCATATTAAGATAGGTGGATGTTCTTTTGGTTAAAAAATACGTGTATGTTTTATCTAGAACACTATATCTTTTAATCAATTGTTATTGTTATTATTGATTTAAAATTTAAAATCCACTTATCCTAATTTTTTTTTTGGGTTTTTTATCGGAAACTTATCCTAATTCTATTTACGCTTATGTTTCATCTATAATCCTATTTTTTTATTAGAAATTTATCCTAATTCTATTTACGCTTATGTTTCATCTATAATCCTATCTTTTATTCAATTGTTATTGTTATTATTATTTATTAATTTAAAATTCACTTATCTTTTTTTTTTTTCCGGGTTTTTTTATCAGAAATTTATTCTAATTCAATTCTTTTATCCTATTTCCATTGGGAAAAAAAAAAAAAACGGTCTATATAAGTTAACGTAATTACTTCAGTTCTCCCACATTACCGAAAATCAAACTTTCTTCTCAAGGTTTCCTTCAGGTTCCGCAACAATTCGCTCACCACGACACACCACCGATTCCTACCTCGGGTTATTTTGGCTGCTCCGTCTACCTCCCGCACTCTCTCTCTTTCTGTCTCTCGGTGGTTTCGCTCTAATCGACGCCATAACCTTCAGCATTTGGAGTCGAAGCCATGAATATCTTCAGGCTTGCCGGGGACATGACCCATCTACTCAGCATTTTGGTGCTGTTGCTCAAATCTACGCAACTAAATCATGCGCAGGTAACTCCCCCCCCCCCCAAGTCCCAAGTCCTACACTTTGATCTCCCCCTTGATTTTTACCTCCACGGTAATCGTCTCAAGAATTGAAGTAACTGAGCCTTTATCGAGAACTTTGTATACAAATTTTGCCGCTCTCTTGATTGTTGTACCGGCAAATTAAGTGTGGAAGCAACGGTTTTTAATGTCAATACATACTATTTCTTGTTAGTTTTTAATCTTTTTGCAGTTTAGTGACTTTCTGTCGGAAATTTTGTATGCATAGTTCTAGTAGATTTTTGAGTCGTGGGCAAATAGGGGTAAACAAAAGAGCGAAAATTGGGGGTTTAATTCTTTCCACCTTATAGCGTCTGAGTTTGAAAACAAAGAACCAGAAATAATAATGCATTAATTGGGTTTTGAACAAGTTTGCTGATTTAGGGAAATTTTATTGTTGTGTACTTTTAACTGCAGGGATTTCTCTTAAAACCCAGGAGCTCTATGCAGTTGTATTTCTGGCTCGTTACTTGGATCTGTTCACAGATTTCATCTCAGTTTATAACACTATCATGAAGATTGTTTTTATCGCAAGCTCTTTAGCGATCGTGTGGTGCATGCGAATGCACCCAGTGGTTAAGAGAAGTTATGATAAAGAGCTCGACACTTTCCGCCATTATTTTCTTATTCTGGCGAGCTTTGTCTTGGCGCTTGTGTTGCATGAGAAGTTCACATTCCAAGAGGTATCTGATTGTTGACTTCCCTCTATTTTATTCAATACGTTTTATAGCCTTTATGCTGTATCCTAATAATTGTTGATATGTATGTTTCTCAAATTTCTGCTACGTGATAGAGAGTTTGATGCTAAATATAATTTCTTTGCATGCTTTGGCATTTTGATTATGCTTTGTGTCTGTAGTACTGAAAGATGAATGCTTTGACATTTCGATAAAATGGTTCTTTAATTATTTACTTCTTATTGTATTTCTGTTTTTCTTACTACTCATTTTATATTTCTGCAAACATCTTACTTCCATGATGATTAATGCTACTTTTCAACATGTCTCCAAACATCTTATTTTGTTCCGGTGGCTGCAGTTGCAACAAACATTTTTGCTGTTCCATTGCCACCACTAGGAATTTGGAAATCTAGTAGTCCTCCTAAACCAATTTGTGACAATTTGTTGTCACATGCACTTTCGTTTTGGTGCCATAGATACTTATTTTCTCAAAATTCCTTTTTCCTACTGGGCATTAAAATGCTATTAATCCTTTTCCTTTTACCCTTTCCCTTTCCCTTGTTGATAATTTTCTGTGTCATGGTGCCTGATTATTTTGATCCCTTACTGCATGGTTAAAGCTTCAACTTTTTTGCTTTGACCTCAAAACTTGGATGGAAGAATTTGAAAATTTGGATCATTGCAGTGCTTTTTCCCTGTAAATCTTATTCTCAGTTTCTCACTCTCTTGAAGCAGTGATAAATTCTTTCCTAAGAAATTTATTTGGAAACTCAGAACCCTTTCAAGGCACGTTTTACCTGACAATACTACTCAATAATATTAGTATTATTGATATGCTGATTCATACATAATAACAGTTAATCTCCTTAATGGGGTTTGATATGTTGCTTTAATTCATAAGCATCTATTACTTACAGCAGTAAGTTATATTTGCTTTTGGCATGTTACAGTGTTTGGTGAAATTTGAATATCTCATATTTGTATAGCATTTTCCAATAATTAAGTTCAAAGGCTTTGGCACAAGAGGTCAAAGTTTTATAATTGTGGGTTTCATGTATGTTGTTTTTTAGTGTCCTTGATTGGAATTAAGTGCTCAGGTTTTTGAAGGAAAATCTATTTCACTAGTCATGTTTTGGTTTTAGTCTGCTTATCTTTTTTATTATCTTTGGTTCTCTGTGGTGTTCTGTAACTGGTCATTTCAGAGCATCCTTGGTCAATTTATAAAGGAATTGTAGAGCTCATAGTACTAAAACTTTCTTGGCAGTGGTTATGCTTTGTTTCTTTTGGTTGCTGGCTTTCATATTTGTTTTGTTAGAAGAGCAATAATCTTAAAATTTAAAACTGGATCAACGTGACCAGTCCGTTTAACGCTGTTGTGCTGTGAAAAGGGGTGGGGAAAAAGGGAAGAGAGAGAATGAGAAAGGTGGGGGAAGGCCAAACTCCTTGGAGACTCTATTCAATAATAATCAAAAGTTGAATATAACTGAAGAACCTTAGGGGCTATTCATAGAGTCTTATAAATATGAAAATAATAAAAATCAAATCTTAATCTAATCCTAAAAGATAACAAGGATAATCTAGATTTATATATCTAGGTATCCTATTTTATTGAAAATAAATAAAATCTAAAATAATTCTAAGAAAGATACTGATAAGAAAATCTAATTAAATCCTAAAAAATCTGTAGATTTCTAAATATTCTTATTTAAATGATCCTAATAAAATAATCCTAATAAAATAATCCTAAATATCTAAAATAAACTAATTACATCTATATTCTATCATGGTGTTAATTCACATCGGTCTAAACTAGAAGCCAGTGAACCCACTGTTCTGTCCAAACTAGTTAATTGAGGTGGTTTGCAGGGTTGACTGGGTTTCTATTTGATGATGTGGCAGTTTCTCAAGCTGCCGCGTCATTAACTTCACATGAAAATTGCACAAAATGCCTTAGGGAAGATTCAAACCTAGACCTCCATAGTTTATAGGAGGAGAGGTGCTCCCATTGGTCTAGAGCTCCTCTTCTAAATAATCTTTTATAATTTGTTTATGATACCTCTGCATTCCTTTTTATTTACTTTAATGTTTTTGTCCTGAGGATGGCTGTATGTTACATGATTCTACATTTCAAAAATTTTTGCGGAACTTTTCTGATAGTATGATAAGAATTGATATATGAGTAGCTGACTAGCTGTGAAAGGCAGAAAGCCATAAACTAATGAGAGGTCGGCCATTATAATCATAGTATCTGATAACAGCACTGGGAATACAATAGTTACTTCATTAAAGAATCTTCTGCGTAATTGCTCTCTATTATTTGTCCAGTTTGGTATTGAAAACTTGCTTGATTCCACGAGTCCTTTTAGTCTATAAACACAATGCTTGTCTTTTTTTTATTTATTCTTGACATGAACGGTTTAGTTTGTATTTCCTGGAAGCTTTGTAAAATCATGAATATGCATATTAACTTTGATGTAAATCTACTGCAGATTTTGTGGGCATTTTCAATATACTTGGAGGCAGTTGCAATACTACCCCAGTTGGTTTTGTTGCAACGAAGTGGCAATGTGGACAATTTGACTGGCCAATATGTATTCTTTCTTGGGTGTGTGCTTTCTTTCGTTGATATTATTTTCTCATCTAAGATCCTTCAAACAATATTAAACTTTCTTTGGTCTGCTGATCATTAGTTGATAATGTTTTGAGCTGTTGGGAATTCTTTTAAAGGTGACAGTGCATCAAAACAAAATTGTACTTGCTAGATATGTAATGGAATATACCTCTGCTAAAATTGACAATGATTCACCTACACTGTCACAGATTTTTCAGCTTTACCAAATTCTTACTTCTTTTTATTGGGCTGGTTTAAAAGTTTCTGCGCATGTATTTTCTATCTTGACTCTAGTTTTTGATATATGTCAGTACTTGCATGATTACGGCCAATATCAGTAGATTTATGGAGATTTGTCAAACTAAAGATCTCATATTATAATTGCTGATTATGAAACTGCAGGGCATATCGGGCATTTTACATTATGAACTGGATATACCGATATCTGACTGAGCCGCGCTTTAGTCGATGGATTGGTAAGAAATGCTTTGGAATTTAAATAAGAATTTCTTTTACACTCTAGTAAAGACTCTTAACTTATTTCCTGTTATTTCAGCTTGCTTCTCCGGTATTGTTCAGACAGCCCTATATGCAGATTTCTTCTATTACTACTTCATCAGGTAAAGAAAATTTTTCTGTCAAATGCTTTGCAATTAAAATTTTCCTTGTTGGTGTATCAGATGAGTTACATCAGTTTTTTTTTTTTTTTTTCAGCTGGAAGAACAATTCAAAACTAAAGCTTCCTGCTTGAGCAAACCCATAATTGTTTTGGAATGGAAGTCACTACTGGATTTTTATGGAGCGTCATATGGTTTGATGTTAGTGACTTGCAGAGAGGAACACGAGTGGCACCCCAATTCATCAGTAGGGATAATTGGGTTTTAACTTTAAAAGAATATTCCATTATCATTGGTAATTTAGGATGAGGTTGAGACAAATGTTTATATGTGGAAGATAGTTTTTTTTTTTTTTCGGAGTTTCATGTCTTCATTGCACATCAGTGTAGTTAGTGGGGCAAAGTTGCTATATTGGTTATATTATAAAGTTTTTTCTTTGGAAAATGAAAATGTTCGGTCAGATTTCTCTCTTTCGTTCTTAACCCCTTTTGAGTTAATTAGTTTTATTTGTACCTTTCATCAAGAAAAATTGACTATTTAATAATCTGCAGTTCCCATATTAAAGAAGAAAAAAAAAAAAAAAATCTGCACTGCATTAAGTCAATCTTTCAGACTAGCAGATTCATTGGTTTACTGGCTAACATCCAAAAGAAATAGAGTTATTATTGCTACCTTTTTTTTTAAGTTGATTTCTAGAGATTGATTCTAGAAGAAAACTAGACTTGCGGCTAGAGGTAGATTTCTAGAGATATAGCTTGTTTATATAAAATGGATTAAAGGGGCGAAATTGCCCTTTTATCCGAAAATATTTTTTTAAAAAAATGTTTTCTTTTAGAATTTGTTGCTCATTTAAATATGAACAACTTTTTTTTTTTCTAGTTTATCTTTTATTTTCGGGATAAACTTATCATAGTTTATCTTGTAGATATTAAAAGACTATAAACAATGTTTTTTTTCAATTTTTTATTCTTGTACATATTTAATATATAAATAACTTATTTTGGACGTGTAATTACTAAAAAGTACAATAGTTTTATAATATTGAAAAAATATACTTATTTTTTTTTTTTTGCAAGCAATTCACCTTTTATTATTTGTTCTTGATATTTTCTTTGGGTAAAAGATTGATCTTATTAAAATTAAATTTTTCTCTGTGGAATTGTGAGGTCACGATTAGTAATGACAGTCTCACAGCTTTAAAAGGAACATGACAATACTCCTAGGTATCTCAGCATACTGAATAGAACACAAATAGATTTTTATAAGAAAAACAAAAAACAAAAAATAAAGATTTACTCATTGTGTATTTTCAAATTTGCCATGAAAATGTGTAAACTAAAGTTCAGTTAGAATTATTTCTCAAGTTCATACCCCAAGTGTACAACAACGATTAAATTATTTGCCTAAAAGAGGTGCATGCAAATGCTAACTAAATTATTTTGGGTCAACGATCTGGAATTTCATAAATCAAGCAAAAAATAATAAATTATTTGTTTGTTAACAAGCAGTAGTCTTAGTAAAAGGGATTAGGACCACTTAAGCAAAGGTTCTTGAATTTGAATTTGTGTAATACGAAAAAATAAAAGTCTTTGAGAAAGCTATCTTTAATTAAACTTATAATACTGAAATCTAATAAATAGTTGTATAAAAAATATATCTCTTGTTTTAAACATTAAAAGAATACAATATTGAAAAGTTCAGTATATTGAATTCTGCGACTCTATGCTTGCTTCTTTTTCCTTTTTAATGTCTATTTTTAATTAATATTTAATAATTTTATATTTATTAATATTTTTAATATTAAAAAATGTTTTGTGCATGGTTGTTGCGTTAGAAGCTCAGATTTTATAATTATAATAGAGGTAAGGATCATTTTTACCCCTTAACTCAAATATTTTATAATAAAAAAATTAAAAAATGTAACGTAAAATCTATTAACAATTAATTAATGGTGAAAAAATGATCACAGGGTGATAAAGGATGAAATATTTAAGTTGAGAAATATAATTAATTTATAATTGAGTTTAAAGTCTTCAGCAACCTTTTGAGTCAAGATGAAGGATAAAAATGACCTTTAACCCACAATCTCTTGTTTACATGCCAGCTTTAAATATATATATATATATGTATGTATTAGGAGAATTATGTTAAAGTCTCGTATAAAGAAATTAATTACCACAGTACTCTTTAACAACTAAACTAATACCATTGATAACAAAATGTGTATGACTCATTGACAACATAAATACATCATGACTTTAGTTTAGTCATTAATAAATATTTTAATAATTAATTTTTTGTGTGTGTGGGATTTATACATAATTCTCCCATTTTTCTTAATTAGTTTTGGTGTACATGTACACGTCTACAACAACTATTGTGTATAACAATCTTACGCTTGTTAATGAAAAGGTGAAGCAGGATTAAGTATACGATGGAATAATTTATCACCCAAAAAAAAAACTATAAAACTTACATGCAATGAAACTTCACTTTGAAATATTTTGTTCCAAACAAATGTGGAGCCTCAATGTGCTTGAATATTCATCATGAGTCCATGTCATAATGAGCAACAACAAGCGTTCCTGAAGATGAAGATATGTGTATTATGTAATGATTTTTTCCTGATGAAAAACTTTTCGTTTTAAAGAATTAATATTTAATTTTGGGTTTTATTGTCGCTCGTGCAAATAATGTATGATTATGATGGAATGAATCCTATCACACAATTGAAGGCATGGCATTTCAATCATCATGAGGTTCATTAAAACCTTCGTGGGATAAAACATAAAGCTGCATGCCGCCTCCACTCCCAAAAATCTGGCAAAAAATAAAAAAAAAAATATTTTTTGGTATGTATAAGTTTACGTGAGTTTGGTCTCACCAGAGCTAGTGTATGCTTTCATGCTCAAAAATTTAAAAAGGTATCAGCAGTTGAATTTATACCCATGACCTTTTGGATTATGTGCAAAATCCTTTACTAACTTTGACTAATCCTTGTTGATAAAAATAAATAAAAAGTGAAAAATGAGCATTTGGCTCGATTAGTTGAACATTTGTACTAAAACTTTTTGTTAATTGTTTACAAATAGCAGAGAGTAGCCTTCTTTAAGGTATTATAAACAATAAAATGTATTTTTTTTTTAAACCAAGTTTTCTAAGCACGTAGAAATACCAAACTCATAATCACTTACTTAATAATAAAAATCTTACCACATATAACAATTTAAGTTGGTAAGTTTATATACTCTTGTATATAATATGAGTAGCTTCAACATTATTGAACAATGGTGTCAAAAGATTATATTATATTAATATTTTATAACTGCATATTGATTAATATATCAACAATATATACAATACAATTCGCATTAATTCGTATCATCATTGGTTGCACATCATGCTTGTCCTAATAATACGACTTAATATAAAATTTTATTGTATATATTGGTGAATTTATTAATAATTAAGTGTAAGATAAAAATATAATTAATTCTTTTGACAAGTTTATTTGTTTAAACACAATTATGTTGTTGGAAGAAAAAACATAATCATGGTCAAATTGTTTAGATCAAATACAACTGTATAGTATCAACATGTATTGGTTCTAAACTTCTAATAGAAAAGGCTATGGTTAGTTAAACATGAGATCTTGAATGGCATTCATGTGAATACATAAATTGTCTTTAAAAAATTATTTTTAATTGGATTTGATAATACTCAAATCTAACCCATATGTATGATCAAATAATCGACTCATCTTCATGACAAGTTCACAAAAAGATATGTTTTTTAAATTGACAAAAATTGCATACTTATTCTTAACATTTAATTTTCCAATCGTATACATAAAGTTCTTATGGTGGTAAGTTTTATGGCTGATTATCCTGCCAACATGGAGAAATATTTAGGTAGACTAGATAGTATATCATTTGTAATTTATCCAATTAAAATTTTAAGTAATCTAAATAAAATTTGTATCACATTTTTTAATTAATTTTATTTTTATAACAAAATGTACGTTTGATTTTTTTTTCTTTTTTTCTCTCTATTATTATTAATATTAGAATTAATTTAAATTTAATATTATCTAAATATTATATTTTTATTACACAGATTACAAATGATATGGTGCACTTGCTCTGCTTAAGTATTTTTTACCAAGATGATGTTTATAAATTACAAGATCAAAGTATAAATATAGTAATAAAAAATCATTTATGTTTATAAAACAAAATCAAAATGTAAAATATATATTGAGGAAGTTGTTCGAAAGTACCAAAACTAATTGTACATTCAATACCAAAAAGAGCTCGACCCCCTTAACTTTTTTTTTTTTGGGTAAAAAGGAGTTAAACGTTTTTACCCTCGCTCGAGCTTGAAATATATTAATATTTGGTATTGATAATATTTAACTTCACCCAATTAGTAAATGTACAATGATATTAGGAAAGGAAATAATTGTTTTTCCCCCTAGAAATGAATACTAAACATAAGATCTATTTTCTATAACAATTAAAAGTCATTTGTATTGATATATTTACTACTGTCATGAATTATCAATTGAATGAATAAAATAATAAATTCAACAAATAACAAAGCTTTTTTAAATTGAATGAATAAAATAATAAATTCAACAAGTAACAAAGCTTTTTAAATTGAATAGGTACCTATTTGAATTCTAAAAGTACATTTAAATCATTAAATGCTAACAACATATACAATCTTGTTGAGAAAATTTTACTCTTAAACTTTTTCTAACCAAGAAAAAAATTTGTTGTAATGTAAAGTATAGCATTATCAGCTTGATATGTCCAAGATACTAAGTTTTAGAACTTAATTAATATGAGTGAATTATGTTAAATTTTTGTAGAGGTTGAAAAGTCTAATTTTTTTTATTGATAATTTTCATGTCATAAAAAATCATTGAGCAAGACTTCAAAAAAAAATGCATATTGGTTATTATATTTATAAAATTCAATATGAATATGTTGATGAAATATTATTCATGTATTGTTATATATATATATGTATAATTTTTCTTTCATTATTGTACATATTTTGTAATATCGGCCCTTTTAATTAAAACTTGTGGTTCTGCCCTGAAAATAATTATTATAACAAAAAGGAATAAAACTAATGTACTTGACTAGTTTGTGTGATTGAAAACAATAGCCAAGGAAGATAGCAATTAGAATTCAAATTAATTCTTAATAATAATCAAATAAGAAATGACTTACGGTGATTATGCCCGGAACCAGAAGGGTTGTGGCTCAAATATTTGATTATTAATTGTATTATAAAAACAAAAAAAAAAAAAGTGGAAGTGCCTGACAGCGCATGCAGCCCCCGTGAACCAGGCTTCAAGAAGAGAGAGTTGTGCAGTGCTGGCACAAAAAACTAGATGGCAAGGTACGTTGAATCGAACCGGTCATGATATTGAATCACAGGTTAGTGGTT